AGCTCTCTGCAGCGGCCCCAGAGCGCGTCGCATCCCGGCGGCAGGTGATCGCTAGCGCAGCAGACCTGGCCTGCTGTCCCCCCAGTGTACTTCCTGTTTCGTCCCAACTTCTGTGATGGCCGCAAGAAAGGAAAGCGGGAGGCAGAAAGGCTGAGCAAGCAGCGTTTATGCTCCGGACAGCAGCTGAGACGGAGCCCCTAGAGTGGGGTCCGCAGCTACTGCCAACCCAATAAGGGGGAAGGGTCTCATATATAGATTCTAAACTCATATGCCAAAGAGGTGACTCCTCGCTGTGTCCTTGATGTGAGGCCCAGTTCACTGTCACCTTCAGCTAGTCCCATCCAGGATTTCAAGGGCAGTTTATTACCACTTTATCAAGCTTGGATGCAAGGCTCAATTTTTTTTTTTAAAGATTTATTTATTCATACAGAACTGGGGGACAGGCCAGAGATGCGGAGGGTGAGAGGATTCAACAGAGACAGAGCGGGGAGCAGAACAGGCAGATCAACGAAGTACACTGCTGAGGGGAGCAGCGGGCGAGTCAGGAGAGGTCTGCCACGCCATGTGGATCTCCTGGGGCAGGCGGGAATCGAACTCATGAGGAAGTGGCTTAAGCTTCTTAGTGCAGTGCTTTAACCCGCTGCGCCACCAGGGAGGGCCCAAGGCTCAATTCTTTACCGCCCTAATTCAGTCCTTGTCAGTAAATCTTTGGTCACTCCCAACATTCCTCACTTTTTCTTAGTTATTAGGAAAAGGATGTGGTTTCTCCATGGTTGCTTCCTGCGTGACTTAGGGACTGTCGTGGACTTCCTGCAAAGGAATATAGGGGGCCGTGGGGTGTAACAGGACCTGATTTACTGCCACCTTGGTTAGAGCCTGCACCCCTGCCATTAAATAAACGGACCATGCATGGGGCCATAGTAAAGAAGGCTATGACTGATATTAAGGGGCCCAGTAATGGGACTAGCCATGGTAAAAAAAGGTTGTTGCAGCCATTCCCAGAAGACATCTCTTTTGATGTTGGATTCTCCGATGTTTTTGGCCAACTCGTGTAGCTTCGCCACATTTTGTCCCACCTGCCCCGAGCTGGTGTAGGTCCATTCCCAGGAAAGGCCGCATGTGTCCATCAGGCCCAAAGCGAGATGAGCTGGCCTGGATGGCGGTGCAGGCATGAAAGTCAGGAAGACAGTTTGTTGAGGAGGTATATCCTGTCTCCTTGTGTGCAACCTGGAATTTGTATCTTGGGAGGGGTCAGAAGAGAAGGTTTACAGAGAAAAATAAAAATAGGACAAAAAGGAATAGAATTCAGTCTTGGTGGGACTCAAATTACAGGAGGGCCTTTGGAGTCAGAGGTCTCCAAATTCCAGGGTTTGGGTGGGATTTAAGAGCAGGTCAACAAGACTCAAATTTCCAAATATGGTGAAAGGGTTTTATATGGTTCCTGATAGAGTCAGGGCAGTTTAAGTATATTTGAGTTACTATAGCTGAAAGAGAAATTAAAGTTGGGTTTTACATAATTACTGATATTAAGCCTAGCAAGTCATTCTAGCACATAGCATGTTCACTGCTCTCAGACCTTCAGCACTTCCCTCTATCTTTAAGACCTTCAAATAACTTCAACACTTTCTTTTACCTTCTTGGCCTCACTTTTTTCCTTCTATCTTTCTTTTCAAGATCTTCAAACTACTATCTCCAACATATTTCTTTCTTATTAAACACACAGCTCACTTTACTCGACGTTTGAGTCATGACAAACTTTATCTAAAGAAGTCAAGGCATTTACTGGGAG